AGGCCTTTAGGCGGACTTAAATATAAACTGGTGAGGCCTAATGAGAGAGGTGGAGAAGGCTATACCATGTGTAGTGAGCTGGGTTACATAAGCATGGCATTTGCCATCACCACATTGCCATTACACTTTATGACACAGACAATTAAAGAGACCAGAGCAGAAAGAACGCTGCAGTGTTTAGGACATGCAGCTTAGTGGAAACACTACAGAAATTGAGTTTGTTTCATCTAGGAAAGAGAGACTGGCCTGGGAACATGGTAACAGTCCCTATGCACAACACTATTAAGCCTAATATATAATAAGGCAACCTGGTATTTGTGTGACATGCTGAAAAAATGGATGAGGAAGCTGGAAACATTATATCAGTAACAAACAAATGGTAGCAAGAAAGGAAAAGGGATGTGATTTTTTTAACATTTGCGTTAATAATCTCAGGTGTTATTGAAAACACTGCCAACAAGCATTTTTCCCCCCTGAACTGAGCACCTTTAACCTACATGAATGCCATGTTATACCTGCCTGTGCAGGGGGTTGGACTCGATGATCTATTAAGGTCCCTTCCGACCCTAACATCTATGAATCTATGAATCTATTACAGTGGCAAGAAGCAAATCCACGTTATGATCCTGCTGAATAAGACATTTTCAAAGCAAAGTAGTACCTGGAGGGACTCTTGACACATGAGTATAGCTGTCACTGTAAATCAGTTTGAAACAAAATCCATCTGTCTTTCAAGATGATGTAAAGTCAATCTCAGTCTGTGGATTGAGACTGAACAGCATCCTGGATTCTGCCTACATTTTGTCAACCTAGGGAAGTTTTGAAATGTCGTTCGAGTCACCATCCAAACTGGCCTCCAAACTCATTGATCTATATTGACCCACATGAAGCAGCTAAGGAGACTCCAATGACATCTAAGCCGATGTTCCTCTTGTAACAGCAGCTGATCAATATAAATGAGATGCAGATAATGGCTTGGAATTTCCTCAAGCAGACAGCAGTAACTTTAGGCCAGTACTGAAAGGGGACAGGCTGAGCTGGAAGCTGGAGGTGCAATTCTCTCTATCCTAGTACCAGCCTCTTTGAGCTGTGCTATATCCCTCCATGGGTCTTCTGATTCTTAAGCAACTTCCAGCTCTCAGTAACAGTCTCTAAGCCAGAGTTAATCATTGCAGAGGAAATGAAGTAGAGATAAGATTTAAGAAAATGTGCTGTTTTCTCCATATATTAAGTATTTGTATTAGGATTCCCTATTATTATCTGCACTTTGCTAATTAGCCTAAGAACCAGTCCTAGATCAAAGTAAACAGATAGCTGAAAAAGAGCCCCAAAGAGCTCACAGTGTAAGATACTTCATTATGTTTTAAATGGTTACCTCCTTCAAAATTGTATCGCTTGTACAGAGCCAGGTACCATGGAGTCCTGAGCCCAGCAGAAGTGTTTAGCACAGTGGGGAGCTGGGGGAAAGGTGGATGTGTAGAGCAAAGGAGGGAGAGAAGGAAAGGAGGGCAGGAACTGGTGAAAAGCAGAAAGGAGGCAATAGGTCAAGAGCTGGAAAGGAGAGGAGGGAAAGCACGTCCTGCTCATGCAAGTGGCTGTAACCGGACCCCAGGGCACATCACTGAGGTTTTACACGAGTTAAATTTAGTACCAAACGCCCTGATCAGCAGAACAGGTTCCCGGAGGGGATGCAGTTGGACTCAAGGGAGGTTGCATCATGCTTAAAACAGGCAGAGCCAAGTGGCTAGCCATGCTGACTGGGGGCACGGCAGAAAAGCAGTCTTTTCACTGGCTCTTCTCTCCCAGGCTGGACCCAGCCCCCAAGAGCGAGAGAAGAGCTTCCCTGCTAGCAGATGGTCAAAAGATCTACTGGGAGGAAGAGAAATAGGCCAGGTGACACCCACGCAGTCTGACTGGTGCTGATCAGGGGAACTGCCATGCTGGACACGCTGTATGGTCTGTGTCACTGGGCCCAATGGGGGCTGATGCCAAATGCTGCTGAGCACAAATGTAACGCATCTAAAAGAAGAGGGACTTTCTCTGAGGGTCACGCAGTCAAGTGCCACAGCTCAGTCCAAAGCAGGGTTGGGTGTGGCATAGGGTGGGGACCAGAGTAGCTACTTGGGGTGCTGGAGGGGAAGATCAGAGCCTTCTTTGCCAGGAGGGAGGGGTAAAGGTTTGGTAAAAGGAAGGGTTAGAATGCTTGTCACAGGAGGGGGAAGGGATGCAACTTGTCTTTTCCCCACCCAAATTCTATACCTGCCAGGTCAGACACTTGCCAGAGTGACTTGGCAGCCAAACAAGGTACAGACTTCCACAATGAGACATGGGGTGAGCCAAGGTCTGGGGTCTAGGTGGAGTCTGCCCATGGCAATTCCCAGCTCCACCCTTCTCTGCACCTGCTTGTTCCCCTCCCTCCTTCCCCCCCCACAAAAGCATCTCACTGCAAAATGCCTTTCCCTCATTCAGGAGCTCCAGGGTGATCTCACCCTGCTCCTGGACAACTGGCTAGGGATACTGTTGGAATAACACAGTATGATCCAAGGGGCTGAACACTACTGCCCCTGCCCTCCACCACCAGCACAGGAAGAGCGAACACCAACGCTCTCTCTTGGCAGTGCACCATACAATCTGCCGGTTGCTGAGCCAGGACAGAGTGAACACTCTGAACAGCCTGGTTCACTGCTCTGCCTGTGGGCTGCTTTCCCACTTACAGGTCCAGACTCGTCTATTAGTGACATCTGCATATGTAAGGGGAAAAAAGCAGCGCAGGGGGTGGGGAAATGGCAGCTATCTAGTTTACCTTATGAACTCTGAAGCCCTGTAGACCTGGTTCCACTATGAACGAGCCAATACCAAAGGAATTGTATGATTTCAACTGAGATCCTCTTGACTCTCAGCAACAAGGCAACAGGAGAATCATGCCTTTACACCTGACCCAAGTAAGGCTCTTCTTGCACAGAAACAGCATAAGGGCATGAGGATTTCAACACAGGCCTGAGGGTACAAACAGTGACTGTGCCAGTGAAATACCAGCCAGCTGGCAATCCCATTTAAACATCATAAACTGATGTCATGCTGGTCCCAAAGATATTTTAGGTTCCTTCTAGGACTGCATTTAAAAATAAGACAGTGCCCCACACGTGTGGAACCACACTCAGCAAGACTCTAGGAGCCAAAGCTCTGAGAAAAGAACCAAATTCAGCACAACACTTAGGCTAAAAAAAACCCAAAGTAGCAATAATAGCCTGTATCCTGCACAAAAGCAACACTGCCTGATGGGACCTGTTCCCCACGTACCAAATGGCTGACAACCAGCACGTGCAGTATTTGAATAGGGATTAAGATACTGTCATCAGGCTTCTGCCACGTAACTTTCTCGTCCCTAAGCAAGTGCTTTTTGCAGCCTACATAAATGTCTTTACCCTTCTCCTTGGAAGTATAGATTCTTATACCAGCATCCTCATCACATAGCATCTGAGCAACTTGTTGTGCAGGAAGGGACAGGACTCATCTGTCGTACGAAACGCCCAGGAGCTTGTTGGGGGGTTTTATTAGATGTTTGTAATTGCTCTGCATTCCTATTAAAAGAAGGTAGATCAAAAATTGCACCTTTTACATCCAAGTGGATTGGGACGGTCCTTGTTTTTTTCTCAGGGAATTTGATCCACGGTCCCTAAGCAGCCCCTGAGAAAGCTCCGTCTCCAGACATGTTTTATCCTTGCAGCAGAAAGATCCATTATGCTGGAGAAAGAGGACCGTTGACTCGTCTCCATCCTGGAGTTTCTAGGAAATATCAAGACTTGCTGCGTTTAGGCCACTGAAAACCCCGAAGGCGGCTCGGTACTTGTGAAGGAAGCCAGTACAGAAAGCAGAAGGGAGCACAAGCGTGACGATCTCCCCGTAGTCCAGATGCTCCGCGGTGTGCTGGACTAGCTGGCATTTCCTGAAGGCAGATGTCTTCCTGCCGAGGTCAAGTGCACAGCTGTCGTCCAGATGGGAGCGTGCAGGTGACCAACGTCTGCCTAACCCAGGCCCGGTCATCAGAAAGCAGGACTTGCAGAGAAAGTCTCGCTCGCACCAAGAGCTCTCCAAGGCCATGAGCTGAGCGGCCCCACGGCAGGCAGGTGCTTTCCACCACCAGCGGCTGTGCTGGATCAAACCCGCCTCCGGAAGCGCTTCCCCCTGCCTGGTAGAGGAGCCCGGCTACGATCAAGATGGAGAGGTGGGAGCTTCTTGCCCAGGAAGATGCCCCCACCTCCACCCCAGGGCTGGGGGCAGACGGGCAAGGAGCAACCCCAGCCTGAGATGAGGCTGAAGATGGTTGCTTATGCCCAGTTCCTTTTCCAAAACTAACCTAGACCCAATAAAAGCTTGCTATTAAGTATTACACATCCTAAACAATGAGCAGTTCATTAGCTATGCATATTTACTAATTGATATGTAAAATAATATTCTGCCTCCAGTGCCTGAGGTGGCCCAACCTAGGCCAGAGGCCTGGGGCTAGGTAGAGTGCATGTGCCTGTACTGAGGGAGTCTTCCTGGACAAAAAGCCCCCTCCCCTTTAGAACACCTGCTCCTGAGGACCCCCTATGTCCACCCCGCTCAGCTAACCCCACATCCCCATCCCCATCCCCTTTAACCCCTGCCCTTTGCCCCCTCACCCCCCCACTCCACTCTCCTCAGCGCAAGCCCCGCCCCCGCACCAGGCTCCCACCCCCACCCGCCGCCGCCTGAGAGGGGCG